ACTTGTGAGCAGTAGGAAAAAAGGTTAAAGGATGCCTAGAATTTATTTCATATCATGAGGAGACTATCATTTTTTTCTGCCTACTGTGACTGAACTGCCTAGGATTTTTTTTTTCTGAGACTGTTTCTTCAACTTTTGCCTCAATCCTGCATCCTTATCATAAAACCACTTATTTCTTTATGTAGTTAGAGTTGTTTTCTGTGATTTATAGCTAGGGAATTCATTTTTTTTATTGTTATGCATTATCTGGTGTATATTATACTATTTGGTATATATTATGCATTGTCTGGCGGATAGCAATTACTTTGTAAGAAATAGCTGTGATGATTCTTGAGACATAGCAACATTTATGAGGCTTCTTGTAGTTCTCTAGGACGACATATTCCATGCATTAACATCTGCTGGTGGTAACTCCAGGATGCAGAGTCTGTGTCTCACTAATGCAGGATCTGTAAGCTTCTCTCTCTCCTCATCCATGCCAGGAAAGAAAGATTTTATTTCTGGTTTGCGGGACAGGGCAATCATTATAACTACCTCTTCCATGAAATTTTTTTTCTAAATACTTAAATGACATTTCCTCTTTCATCTCTTCTGTGCTATACTAAGTTATCCAGAGTGCTTAGGTTTTGTGGAATATAAGCCAAGGATAGCTTACATGTTGCCTTTAGCCTCTGCCCTACCAAATTAGGCAATGATTCAAGGTTTTCTCAAGTGCTTAAGTAGAAAAGGACAAAATATAAATAAAAGTGGGAAGAAAATAGCAAATATAGGTTAACACCAAATATTATGAATCAGTTATTGATTAATGGGTTAATACTTGTGATGATGAGGTATAGGTAATTTGAGATGCGATTCTTGTGCAAAATAAAGAGGTCTAGTTCAAATAAAATAAAAATTCTGAAGAAATAAAGAGACAGTCAAAGGAAAACTTAATGGAACTGTGTGTAAATTACTTCGAGAACTCAGAAAGAAGGGCCGTGATAATAAGGCAAGGATAAAATTCACTGTGAGAATTTTCATATACTTGTTTGCTGTGGTTTTAATATGATTTGTCCCCTTGAACTCATACAGGAGCTCATCTCCAGAGTCTTACGTTAATGATGCTCAGAGGTTGGAAATGTAATCCAGTATTGCTGTTTGGAGGTGGAGCCAGTGGGAAGTGATTAGGTTAGATTAGGTCGTTAGGGTGGGGCCCCCACAACTGAAATACAGTGGCTTTATAAGGAGAGGGACAGAAAGCATAGAGACAGAGTTTTCCACACACTCCTGCCCAGCTGTGACACACAAGAGCCTGTACCATTGTGTTTGGACCTTGGATCTCCAGAACTGTGAGCCAAAAATAAAATTCCTCTCTTTATAAAGTAACTCACCTCAAGTATTTTGTTATGATAATAAAAAACTACCTAATACATTGTCCAACTTTTTCTCTTCCAGACAGATGCTTAACTCAAGGAATAAATAATATGCATTGCAAAAATATATTTAAAGCTTAGTTGGAGCTCTAACTTGAAGAATAACACCAAGAAAAAATTTGGCACTTCAGCAAGAGTTGAGTGGGTTGGATTGTGGCTGAGTCTCTTGAGATTTTGAATGCAGTGTTTTGAACTGTCTGAGATTTCAAGTCATCCATGTAGCACAAATTAGTATTTTGTGCTATAAAATCTTGTGCTACAAATTTGGCTATATCAGGCATAGTGGACAGCAAATGCCAGTTATTATATCCTTAAATACCTTGATTTCTACACTGTTGTCCACAACTTTACACACAAAAGAACTCTATTGATGCAAGTCTCTTTACACAAAACAGCTAAAACTGTGTCAAAGTCAAACAAAACAGTGATGTGTGTGAAAAGCACTCAGTGCATGTGGGAGGTAGACTAACGCCCCCTCCCTCTCCAGCCAAATCTGTCCATACTCTCACTGAGGGAATCCATTAATAGGTCACCTTTTATGGCAAAGGGGAATTGGGTTGCAGGTGGAATTAAGGCTGCTAATGAGCTGAACTTAAAATAGGGAAATGATCTTGGACTATCCTGGTTGGACCCAGTGTGATTACCGGAGTCCTTAGAAAAGGCAAAAGGGAGACAGATTTCTGGTGAAGTCTGATTGATGTGAAATTGGATTGTGCACTGCCCTTTTACAGGGCGGGAGACCCCACAATTGTGCCAGAAAGGAAGGAGTGCCTCTTCACTACACCGTGGTTAGGGAATAGGGGTCGTCTCCCCAGAGGAAAGATGGAGGACTGCAGTGCCAGACAAACACGGTAAAATTCCCTCGCTCCACCCAAAGTCCATTTCAGCCAAGCATTCCTCCAGGTCACATAGAAGGATGAAATGTGTGGAGAACCAGACCGGAATCAAGTGATAATAAAGAAGTGTTTAAAATGGGTTTTGTGTTTGCTGGTTTTGCTTTATTTCTTGAAATGGAATTAAGGTTCTCTCTGGGGGAAAAAAAAAAAAGAAGCAATAAAGTTAGAGACAGAAATACAGAGAGAAGTGGGGGAAAGAGGAAGAAGGAGAAGAGGGAGAGGGGAGAGAAGGAGAGGGGAAGGGTGGGAGGGAGGGAGAGAGAGAATGAATATCCAATGACTTCATTTCTTCTTGGTTGTTGTACTCTTGATTCTTGGCTGTTTCCCCAGGGGCAAGCAGCAAGGTCTGTTATTTAAGCATCTCCCAACGTGGATTTCTGTTTGGATGCAGTATCTTCGGCAGGAGCCATTTGGGCGCTCACAGATCTCCTTGAGGTTGCCTCTGACTGCACATGGAAGTGGGTGATTGTAATCATTCATTAGTGTCCCTGAAGGTTTAATTGAATCATATGGGGAGGGAGGACATTGTCAGGAGACAATGTTGTCTGCGTTTTTGTTGTTGTTATTTGATTTTTTAAAGATAACTCTTTAAAATCTGATGTCACACAAAACTTGAATTTGGGGCATTCTTGAAATTGGGTGCCCTTAAATAACAAAAGGCTGAAGCTGAATAGTTCTCCCCACTTTGGAAGTTCTAGAGCAGGCACAGTCCATTGTTCATCTTACTCCTTCTTGTCTGCTAAACTGATGACACAGAACTCTTTGACATCATAGCTTTTACTGCTGATTTTCCTGGGGTAGAAGAACGTTTTTAGAGAGAAAAAATATGTCCCTGATAGACAGATACATAGATGAGTGCATATGTGCACGGATATATGAGGGGGCTTCAAAAACTTCATGGAAAAATGAACCTAAAAGATAACTTGATTCTGGTACAAAAAATTGAAAACCATAGTTTTTTCATAACACATTTTCCATGAATATTTTGAGAATCCTTCATTTATGATAGATTATTTTACATATGTATCCTTGAAAAGTGGAACTCAACTATATATCTAAAAGATAATAGTTTTCAAGGGAATTGGGAGGCAAAATGTTTTTCTGAAGAAGGAAACAGTATTCATATATACTTTATAAGCCAATATATCAGTATTTGTTACATCCTCTCACTCCCTTCTCTTACTCCTCATCTCTCTGGCACTAGTCTCTGAGGTTGCAATCTTGCTCCAGATACCACTGCATACATTAGGTGTGAAACATTCAAGTTCCTCTTAAATATTGAACAAACATACTTGTTTAAAATATTGAATAGCATTTTATTTATGTCATAAAATATTACTGTTCTGCATGTGGGCCACACACATTGAGGAGCCCTGTCTCAAAAGTGGTTTAATACTGAGCAGTCTCATAATGAAACAGAACACCCCTTTTCCATGACACCTTCTTAAGCTCTTCAGGGACAGCAAGAGAGGTATCAAAACCAGAACTTATAGTCTCAAAGAGAGGTATCAAAACCAGCACTACAGTCTCTTTGTTCTGGAATACAAAGGTCAATTACTGAATAGCTTCAAATCAATATAGGAGTTTATTATTTATTATTCAAAAAATGTCAAAATTACATTGAACTGAAATCTGAATGTATTAAATTGAATTGAACCTTTCAATATACATAAAATAATTAGTAATGTAATGGATGTAATGACCAAATATGAGACATCATAGTTCTACCTAAAATGCTAATTGATAAATAATTTTAAGGGAATAATTTTGTTTAAATCAATGATCATTCTAAGTGTCGAGTGAATCCTTGGGCTTTATATCTCTTATCTGTAACTAGTTGACTACTATTTGTGCATAGGCCCCATTTACCTTGGGCTAAATTTGGCTTATTGCAGCTAGAAGGGTTCTGAGATCAGTGTATTACAGAAGGTAAACTGACATGTGGCCATGATGTGTGACAAGTCACTCTTGAACATCCCTCTATCATAGAACTTTTCTCATTCTACTATGGTTGTCACTTCCTCACCCCACTTCACTTCTTGGTGATAAATTCCTTGAGGGCAAGAATTACATCTTATTCTTCTCTGTACATGCACATACACACAATTACCAGAATTCAATTCATGTATTAGTATATAATAGGTATTCAGTAAATGATTGTGCAATTATTAGTTAAGATTTTCATCCTTTAACACGCTTGTACGGAAATAGGTTGTTACTCTCAGTTCACATGTCTTGGAATTAATTATGTGTGGTATTTTGCTGCAGTTGGCTATGTTGAGCACTAAGTTTTCAAATCATAAGAGAACTTTGTAAAACTAACATGTCATTGCTCATTTGTAAGAATTCAAGTCACATTAGGGTATTTTTTAAAGTTCTTTGCCAGTGAACCTTGTACATCACACATTGTGGGCACACTGTTATTTCTGTTTGCTTTAGAAACGAAAGTGAGAGTTGCATTGAACATCATGGTTTATCTTATCTAATCATTTGCCTAATAGATGAGAAAATGAGGTGGAGGGAAATGAAGCAACTTGCCCAAGACACCTAGTGATCTAGTGAAGGAGGTGATAGAGACAAGCTAAAGCTTGTGTCCTAACTCCATTCTGCTTTCTCCTCCTTCCCCCTCCCTGTGTCTTCTACTCTGCACTGTCCCCTCCAGCTTCCCTCCAAAAAAAAACCTGCAATGTCCACCGAAAGGCAATCAGAAGGACCTCATCCTTCAGGCAGACTTGTGTCTATGTTAGTGTCCTGTTTTCTTCTATAGTTTCATTTGATTCCGTTTGGCTTTTGCCTCTGCTCTCCCACTAAGTTACTTTATCTCTTTCTTTGAGTGGTAGTGAAAACATAAAAATGAGTTAGATTTTCCAGATTGGAAAGTTTTAAAACTTGGTGAAAGGCATTCATTTTCCAGGGATGTGGATGCTCAATATGTATTTTAAAATAGTTTAATAGGTTTTGCTCATCACACTTGTATGTTTACTAAGGGTGACTGTTCAGTAATCAAATGGGCCTTTACTAATCAGATGGGCCTTTAGCAATGCCAGACTGACAGTTATCTTTTAAGTTACAGTCACCATTTTGTGTACTCCCAAGTTCGTATGATTAGATATGGTTTCACTTTTACCCAGCCCTCGGAGGGTAATAGGAAGGAGGCAGCACAATAGACACTACAGTAGAATATAAATCCAAAAAGTAAAGACAAAGCCATTACTGTTATATTTAACTCACTCTTTCTTCTTGGGAGAGGCATTCACATTTCAGGGTCTAAATTTTTTTTTCTCTATAAAATACAAAAATGGACTAAGTCATCTTTAAGACCCTTTCAAGTCTTTTCATTGAATGATTTTGTAGTACACTATCTGCAGCTGTCTTAGCGTCTCAGCTTGTTACAACAAGGCTAACTCTTTTGTTAAAAATATTTTTACTTGTTTAAAAATATTTATTCTGGCCGGCGCCACGGCTCACTAGGCTAATCCTCCACCTTGCGGCGCCGGCACACCGGGTTCTAGTCCCGGTCGGGGCGCCGGATTCTGTCCCGGTTGCCCCTCTTCCAGGCCAGCCCTCTGCTGTGGCCAGGGAGTGCAGTGGAGGATGGCCCAGGTGCTTGGGCCCTGCACCCCATGGGAGACCAGGAAAAGCACCTGGCTCCTGGCTCCTGCCATCGGATCAGCGCGGTGCGCCAGCCACAGCGCGCTGGCCGCGGCGGCCATTGGAGGGTGAACCAACGGCAAAGGAAGACCTTTCTCTCTGTCTCTCTCTCTCACTGTCCACTCTGCCTGTCAAAAAATAAAAAAAAAATATTTATTCTTCCTTTCCAAAACAAGAAAACATTTTCAAGGTGATTTATGAGAGGTTCAGTGATTCTCTAATACATCCTTTCTTCACAATGGTGATGTCACATGATGCAGTAGCTTGACCGCAACCATGGGGATACAGTTACAAACCAGCCTGTCATGCATTCTTAAACCCATGTGGAGTATGGGATATAATACATACTTCATACAAATGGAAACACACACACACACACACACACACACACTTACCAAAGGAAAGGTGCAGATGAAAACCTTGGACCAACAGCTCACTCTTCGTGCTAAACGTATCTCATGATTTTCCTTTCAGAGCTTGCACCCAAAATCATCTCCCTTGAGGCTTAGTGCCTAGACTTTCTAACTCTGTTACTTTTGGCTTTCAGCTGTCTTTTAATCAGGTGTTATTTATTTCATAGCTCTCACCAATGAAGTATCTCCTTCATCTCATGGCAATGTTCGGTTTTAGGGAATTACTGACTTTTCCATAGACTGTTCAGCAGTGAAAGTGGCCCATGCGTTTTCAGGAGTCAAGGGGCATTGTAGGGTTTGTTCTTTGTACACCTGCTTCCTAGAAAGGGCCCAACAAACAGTGGATGGTCAATAAATATCTAATAAACTGAACTGGTATTCAACTTCACTTCCCTCTCCCACTTCAGTCTCTCCATTGTGCTTCTTCCAGATTGTTTTCCTGAAAAAACACTGCAATTTCCTCACAGTCTACCCTCATCCCCTAAACCTGTAATACTATGCAGTCCCTCAAAACACAGATGTAGAAAGGAAAGTGCCTTTCTACAAATATTATAACAAAAAATCAATTGTTCCTGAAAATATCAAAGAATTTTCCACATTGCCATATGCCTATGACCACTGTCCTACTCTTCCCAACTCTTAAGGTCCTGGATTCTCAGGAAAAGGTAAAATATGCTACCTGATGTAGAACAATAATTTCTTATTCTTCCATAGATCTACACATTCAGGAGTTCTAGGAAATGTCCTGATCTATGCTGATCGATCACTTCCTTTGGTAAAGGAAGTACCTCTGTGAAGGTGACTTATCCCTACGATTCATGTGTTTATGCTGAATGCAGGAGGAAACTATTGCGGGATCATCTCTGGTTCCTGTGCTTTAGTTCTACTTGATCAGACAAGATATGTATGGGAAGAGGTATATTTAGGGGTTGGGATGAAGCCTTAAAGGACAGAGTCAAGCCCGACGGGCCAGCAGTTTTGAGGGTAATGTGTTGGAAGGTAATGTGTGAAGGACTCCAGCAGTCCTTTCAAGGAGATTTCCCCAACCAGTCCTTTCGCCTGCCTCACTGTAGATTTGGCACAGCTCTTACACCAATGTCTTAGGATAACAGTGGCTAGAGGACAGTGGCTAGAGGAATTCTGGAAACCAAGATTTAGTAGCATAATGCCTGTATTTATGTTACCGAGTTTAGAAGCTGTTAATAAAGATGCCTAATTAAATTCACACGTACTGATGTAGTAAAGAGGGTTTTAAGCACTTGAAACATCCTTGGTTTCATTTCATTTAAACGACAGCTGCTATGGAGAACTAATGAGCCAGGTGGCTGCAGTCTCACAGCCTACAGGTAGGTCGCCCAGGTTTCTCATTAGACCCCCTTTTCGGGGCACAGGTAACAGTGATTTTGCTTTGTATACCAGGTTCCCTAAGGTCTCAGGCACTCTACTCCTACCAAAGCTTCTACAAAGTTTATTTTGTTACCTGGCAGAACTTGGCTCATAAAGAAGAGGATGGTGAAGAAGAGGGCAGCTGTTCTCATGGCTGAAGAAAGAAGAACGCCTGGCTTCACTTCCAGGAGGCGGAGAAAACTTCCGACCGTCCTGGCTGTCCAGCATCAGTGGAATGTCTTTGGATAATAAGTTTCCTTCTGTATCTCATTAGGGGTATCCATGGACAGCAGTCTTCTATATTTGCAGGAGGACCTCTGTGGGAAGACTGAGCGTTCTTGTTTTGTTGAACACTCAGTCCATTAGAAGGATGTGGCTGCACAGTTTTGACCAGGAAACCTGGTTAAATAGGAACATAAACTGCCAACCTTTTGGCAACAGATTAAAGCTTATGAACAAATAGGCATCTATATGAAGTTAAAAATGAATTAGGCTATGTTGGGAAAATAAGTTGGTTAGTGGCTAGATATTTAGTAAGTGATTATTGATAATTCACCCTGCTGATAATTAGTCACCCTGCTCACTCCTAGTCTGAACTGCCACAGTGCTTTGCTTATGGTATGGTGCTTATCTCGCTGTGTGAATGTGTGAGCCTCTTGCTTGCTAGAACCAAATGGTACTCTTCAGAGGTGAGGAAGGAAATGAAGCACTGGTCATTTATTCTCAAATCCTCCTCATCAAGTGATCAGGTGGAACAACGCAGAACAGGTAGGAAGTCTGCCTTTGAGTTCTAAATCTCTAGATTTGCTAGCAACTAGGTCTGGATATAGGCAGGAAGTTTTTCTTCCTTAAATATATACATAAGGAATATATATATTATATGCAATATACATATATATATATATATATATAATTAGATCCAGCCCAGGAAACTCAATTGTTACCATGCATTAAGCCAATTTTACAACACACTTAGCCCCATTCCATGACATTTTATTATTTTTTAAACTGCACAAGAATTTGTGTCAAACAATATAAACCTTCTTAGTTACACCAGCGTACAATTTGAATGACAGCAGCAGTAGCAGTTTGTTTTCCTTTCATTTAAATTTGTTTCTACATCATCGAGAACTAACACTGGCTCCTTCCACTCTCCACTTTGCAGTACACTAGGAGAGGGCCAACTTTGGTCCTAGACGATACTTGCTCATAATGTCTGAATTTCCTGCAGCAGAAAAGGAAAAGGTTGGGAGAGAATGGCAGGGAAACATAGAACCCCACCTTTCTACTTTTAACCTACCAATATTTTAAAGAACCATTAGTTGGTTAATCGAGGTTACTAAGAGCAAAAATTAATTTGAATCAATTGGTAATCTAACAAAACAGTTAAAGATTTTAAGAAACTATTACTGAAACTGCTTTATTGTTCTATCATGTATGTGTTAAGTGCATGTGTTGGACCTTCTGGTATGTGTTTTCATAAGTTGTTATTTAACAGTTAAAACTGTTTGCTAAGTTTTCATTTGATATTAAGTTATTGTCAGTAGGCGATCTGGGAAGCCTGGCTTGTTCCCTCTTTCTCTATTCTCTTCAAGATAGGAAATTGATTCTACTCTCAAGGACTCTCCAGTATGTAGTTTGACCTTTAGACCTTATAAAAGGAATGGCTAACATTTTCTGTAATAATAGCATACCCAAAAAGAGAGCTTAAATTATAATTTCACAGTTAGATTTACTTTGCCATGGGCACAGTAAACAAGTAAAACCTCCCTTTCAGACCAAACAAAGGGAGAGAAAGTTTTAAAGTGAGGACGTAGCTTTCCTCAAGGACATTGTCCACCTCACAAAAAACCACTATCAGATCATGCCTGTGATTATAGACTTCTAGTTTAGGCCACTAAAGATTAGCGATGGGACTGAGCGCCCTTGACTTGCATTCTCTTAAAGGTTTCCTCTGGTTTAACTCCGGTGTTTGGCGTGTTTTGTGGCGGCTTTACATTAACAAACTGCATTATATCTCAGTAAGAACTCTGAGTCGACACGATGATTGTGTTAAATTGCTTAGGAATATTTTTAATTTTTTTTTGGCTAGGAGATTAATTGCCCCCTGAGCCTTAGTCAGGATCAAATGCTTAAATCCTTTTATTAAGTACAGTGACCATTATTAATACTTCATATTTGCTGTCATGCTGTTAGTATTTTGTGTATAGACATCCTCCATCAAATTATTTGAATTTATGGAAAACAGTCAAACCAGGGATAGTGTTACAGATTGTATTTGAGGATTCCCCAATTTGACCATTACCGAGTATCCTCCCGCTTCTTAAGCAACACTGCCATCTTGTGGCTAACTCCATCTATTTCTCAGGGCAACTTGCAAGGTTAAATGAACTAGAGAGATGCTAATACCATCAGATTGGAATTGATTTATATCCCTAGAATTTCCTCCAATTTTGGATCAAACTGGTTGGGGGGAAGATGTCATCCAAGGAAATTTTACACCTTTGGTTTCCAATAACCAATGTCATTTTTTATTAGATTACTACCTTTGGCATTCAGTGAAGAAAAGCTGAATTTATTAAGGAAAACATTAAGAAAAATAATTTCTACCAAAGCTTCTCTATTAGCCCACAAATTCCAAATGCTGTCATGCTCAAGTTGGGTTGTATTTGACTCTTTCCTGGAGCTTTTTAGAACTGGCTTTTGAAATTAGGATATGAAAAGCAATTTCTCCGAGCAAAGAAAAAGAGGAGGTTTTAAATTTTTCAGTTAGAGTTAGGCAATTTCACATCAACCCAAGAAAGGTCAGAAGTTGTCACATCCCATGAAGGCTGGCAATGTGCAGCAAAGGAGTGTCAGACACATCAGGATACAGGATGAACACAAAGAGATCTTGGATCAAAGGTAACCCTTTTTTTTTTTTTTTTTTTTTTTGGACAGGCAGAGTGGACAGTGAGAGAGAGAGAGAGAGAGAGAGAGAAAGGTCTTCCTTTTGCCATTGGTTCACCCTCCAATGGCCGCCGCGGCCGGCGTGCTCTGGCCAGCACACCGCGCTGATCCAATGGCAGGAGCCAGGTGCTTCTCCTGGTCTCCCATGGGGTGCAGGGCCCAAGCACCTGGGCCATCCTCCACTGCCCTCCCGGGCCACAGCAGAGAGCTGGCCTGGAAGAGGGGCAACCAGGACAGAATCCAGCACCCCGACCGGGACTAGAACCCGGTGTGCCGGTGCCGCAAGGTGGAGGATTAGCCTAGTGAGCCGCGGCGCCGGCCAAAGGTAACCCTTCTAAGATGAAGTTGCCTTAGAAAGACAGAGCGCACTCTCTCTCTCTCTCTCTCTCGGCCGGCACCCCTGGGTTCTAGTCCTGGTTGGGGCGCCCCATTCTGTCCCGGTTGCTTCTCTTCCAGTCTAGCTCTCTGCTGTGCCCCGGGAAGGCAGTGGAGGATGGCCCAGGTCCTTGGGCCCTGCACCCGCATGGGAGACCAGGAGGAAGCACCTGGCTCCTGGCTTTGGATCGGCACAGCGTGGCCGTAGCGGCTATTTGGGGGGTGAATCTGCGGAAAGCAAGACCTTTCTCTCTCTTTCACTATGCCTGTCTGGGAAAAAAAAAAAAAAAAAAAAAAAAAAAAAAAAACAAAAAAACCTCTCTTGCTGGCCAGTAAGACTGTTCAGCCCAACACAGCAGTGGAATAGGTGAGACCCGGGTTTCCTAGAGCTTTCCATTACACAACCTGCCTACTGTGATCCCATAGTGAGGGCCCCAAGAGTCTGCCTACTGTGATCCCATAGTGAGGGCCCCAAGAGTCTGACATTGCTCCCACTCTCCAAATGACTTTAAAAGGACCCCAACCCGCCCTGATACTATGCAGTCATGGCTCCAAAATGTGTGCATTTGCATTCTAACTTCCTTCAAATGAGTCTCCAGTCTGAGTAAAGCTCTAAAAGTGAAACATCAAGAATTTGCCAATAAAGCCTGAGTGGGTGTGGAGGACTTTGTGGGGGAGGGCCCTCAAAATGACTTTGTATAGAAAACAGATTCTCCACACTCAATTGTGCGTCTTCTCTGGTGCCAATCCATGCCTCCTTCCTCAGCATGAGTGCAGAGGCCTTGGGACCCTGCTTGTCAGGCTCTTCGCAGCTTTCAAGAGGCACCTGCTATTCCACTGTATGCTCCAATGAACTGGAAAACCTCCTGTTAGAGCCCTGAGTTATCACATGCTGCTAAGTTTGGGTTTCCAGGTGACAGTGCCAGGGAAAACCCAGACTCAACACACTATCAACCTTATGGACTGACTAGGAGGGGACTTCGAAACAGTCACAGGGAAATAGAATTTAGCACTGTTTATTTCTATGTGAAAATTTTGAAATTTATGTGGTTTTTCCTAATATGCAGTTTTCCATGAACTTTTTGGAGACACTTCCTATTAGCTCCCAAACTACAGGGGGTTACCAGTCAGAGTCCCCTTTTCAGGGGTGCACACGGCTGCGGAGAGCTGGGAGCATTTTCTCCACAGCTGGAAGTCTTGCTCACCGTTGCACCTCCTGGGCCTCACATGGTGCCTGGAACATCATTTAACAAAGCATCAGTGCTTCTCAAATGCATGAATGAGGAGTGAACAAATAACAGTTTTCCATTATAACTGCAAGCTAGTGACCCAGAGAGCTGGGCCAACCTACTATTCTAAAGACATGGCTCTGAAACGTGTCACTAACTCTAAAAGACAGGAGTAAACAGGAGACAAATAAAACGCCTGAGCCTCAGCATCCCAACACCAGAAACCAATTCCCACAGGCTCTGATTCATCCAGTGGCACTAAGATCTTCTCACACTTGTCCAATTACTGAACAGCCCTTTTGAAATATATTTTAGGTCACATCTCATTACATTATTTCAATAATATCACTAAAATTAAGGCTTCAGCTATACTGAAATAAACCAGTAACATACCCCTTTCCATGTTCATTTGTTGCCCAACCAATAGAAAACTGAAATAGCTGTCTAGTTTTGGTAAGCAGTTGTCAGTGATGGCAGGTGATCCTGCTGACACCCAGTGGGCAGTTTTTAATTGTGAAATTGTCCCATCACATTTCATTTTGGAATAAGAAAATTATTTGCTGCTTTATTTCCAAGGATCCTGCTCACTCATGGTATTAAGGTCAATAATACACTTTACTTCTTTGGTATTTCAACGACATATCTGAGCTCATATTTCTATGACCTAAGGCAGCTGATAACTCTAGCTCCTTAAACGCTCCCTGACACCTTACCCTTAATTATAGACAAGAAATTATTCTAAGCCATACTGCTAAGAAATTTTCCATCCAATCCAAACCATAGAATGACATTGGCATTTCCTTGTAAGGAAGAATTTTGGGGTACCTAACAGCAAATTAGAGTGGTGTGAATGGATAAACGAGAACGCAGTAAACAAAAGAACTGATGCTATACAGTATAGAGGAACAAAAGGAAACAGGAAAGGGTTTTACCCTGAAATAAAAGGGCCTGGAAGAAGCTCATGTAGTGTATTGGATGAAGGGAATCCTTAGCTATGAAGTGGAAGACACACCTAGATTTGTAGTGAGGAGCAACTGAAAGAATGTAAGTGAAACCTCCACAAAGATGGGAAAGTGGTGTTCAGAGAGCATGTTGAACACGACACTGAGCTGTGACTAGGATAACACAAGTTGGCAATTAAGCTGCAGTAGATTTGCAGCCCAAGAGTCAACCTCAGAGCAGGGTACAATGTTTACTGCATTAACTTTTGGCCCTGGAGGGAGGGCATCACCCAACTTGGGAATTGGGGAGGAAAGCACTTCCTTGCAAAGAAACAACAGTTCCAAAAGCAGTCTTTCTTGACTTTATTGTTAGATGTTAGGCCAATAATATACAGACCAACAATTACCTAGTTTACAAAAGCTTTTCATTTTTCAAAGTCTCTAAGTTTAAGGCACAAGTCAGCCTCTTTTGGTCTTACGGGCTGTTTCCAAAACTTACTCCACACAATTCAGCTTTCCCTGGATAGTTCAAGTTCAACTTAGAAACTTGAGAAATGGCAAGTGGCCAGGCAGGATACAGAGCAAATAAACTGAGCTATGTGTGACCTCTTCCCAAATTAGGGTATACATTTGGCTCTGGGGGAAAAAAATCTGATATATAGGCACTTGCATTGCTGAGTCAGATTTTAGATAAGCTCTTTTAACATATAACACAGAAAAAATGGTTACAAGGTTTTAATACATGCTGAATTTTCCAGGATGCAACTGCTGTGTAAATCAAGGCAAGCCTGTAAGATTTTTTTTTTTTGTCTGAAATGCTACCAAGAATTGGCTACCATTTCAGAAAGGCACATCCAGTGTTAATACTGTGGTCTTCGGCCGGCGCCGCGGCTCAATAGGCTAATCCTCCACCTAGCGGCGTCGGCACACCAGGTTATAGTCCCGGTCGGGGCGCCGGATTCTGTGCCGGTTGCCCTTCTTCCAGGGCAACTCTCTGCTGTGGCCTGGGAGTGCAGTGGAGGATGGCCCAAGTCTGTGGGCCCTGCACCCCATGGGAGACCAGGAGAAGCACCTGGCTCCTGCCTTCAGATCAGCGCGGTGCGCTGGCCGCAGCGCGCCGGCCGTGGCGGCCATTGGAGGGTGAACCAATGGCAAAAGGAAGACCTTTCTCTCTGTCTCTCTCACTGTCCACTCTGCCTGTCAAAAAAAAAAAAAAATACTGTGGTCTTCTGTTGCCAACATAACACTCATTGATCTGCCTTTGTAGCTGGTGATTTGACACAGAGGTTTAGGAATCTAACAACTTTATCTTATCTTCTAGCATGGTTATTCTCAAGGTTTTGAAATACATTTTCCTAAAAATTGCTTTCCTTTTCTGCTTCAGTGTTATAATTATGGTACTATACTCACCATTGAAAATTTTATGTAGATGTGCTCACAGATTATATTAATTTTGATTTCCATTTCAGGAAATTCAGAATATTTTAATATCGGAGGCACTGAGCCTGGTAGGGTTAAGAGAACCACTCATTTCATCCAGCCTCCTCACTCTACAATGAAACTGGGGCTCAAGAGAGGTGAAGTAATTTAATCAAAGCTACAAAGCAAACTGAAGGCCAAATTGGGACTAGGAGCCACCTAGACACCAAGCCCTCCTTCCAACACTTTATCCAGTCTCAATAGATGACAAGATAAACGCACCCAGAAGGAGAAAGATTAAACTTACACCTCTTAGAATGAGCTGGTGACTATTAGATTCAAGGGGCAAGAACTGAGGAGGTCCCCGCCATCCCTCAGCTCAGCGGCAAAATCTTTACAAAAATTTGTTTTTCACCTGAAAAGCATCAGGTGCTGGTTTTGTCAGTGTACTTATACAAACTGAGCTGTGGCCAATTCAGAGTTTCTAAAAGGCCTATGGAGAAAGCAGTCACTTGTGAGGCTTGTTTAAGGCTGGCTTGAAAGTGACAAACAGGGATTAGCATTGTGGCACAGGAGGTTAAACCACCATCTGCAATACTGGCATCCCATTTGGGCACAGATGGGCTCAAGTCCCAGACCTGGCTGCTCCACTACTAATGACCTGGGAAAGCAGTGGAAGATGGCCCAAGTGCTTGGGCCTCTGTACCCACGTGGAGGACTGGAAGCAGCAGCTTTGGGTACCTGGCTTTGGCCTGGCACAGCTCTGGCCACTGCAGCCATTTGGGGAGTGAACCAGCAGATGGAAGATAACTGTCTCTCTCTGTGACTTTGCCTTTCAAATAAATAAAAATAAACCCTCAAAAAAAATCCCTTTAAAAAAAGTTTGTAGGAAAGCAACACTTCATATGCTTATCTTGGATGTGAACTTTCAAGTGCATTTGACAGGGAACAAGCCAAGGAATGTGGTCTCAATTTAAGTCAATAATGGAGCCCCTCCTTTGCAGTCTTGAGTTAGGGATTTCAGTTCCTAGGAGGTAGAACAGGTAAAGGGCATGTCCCAGGTAATTGCATTACAACAGTATGAAAGAGTTTCAGAAAATAAACAGGAAGCAATTAACATTTAGCTAAAATCTTGCTTCTAATCAAATTGCTGCTGCACAATTAAGAAGCAAGAAAATTCCCTCAAGGAGCTTCAACATTAAGGACTCAACTTGGGCCCTCTCTATTAGGAACAGAGAGGCAAGCTAACTCATTACATTCTCTTCTGCACTTAGCCGTAAATCACTGCTGCCCATGGGGTTCCCCAACCTGAGAGCAGGGCTGTCATCCAAAGCTTAAAAGGAAGTCAAAATAGCCAGTATTGGTCTCCTATTAAAAGCTGACCCCAACAATCATAGTGCTTATGATCAACCTGTAAACTCAAACAACCTGTCCTTTCTTTTGGGCTCAGAGACCTTCTACACTTGTTCAGAGTTGCTCTGAAAGAACCTGGTGTTTCAGGATGGACATCTTGAACCTTCATAGTGGACTTTGCTTCAAATGAATATGATCCTAAACACCTATGCAATCGTTTTTATGAAATTAATGAAATTTGTATCTATAAAATCAAATAAAATGCGATGTATCTAAAGTTACAACACGCTAAGCCAAAGCATTTAACTCTCTGTGTGGAGTGATACACAGAATTGCCTTTTCACATTAAGGTAAGTGAGGTTGGAGGCAGACAAGGCAGGCGGATGGAGACACTGGAGAAGATGTGATGGTGGGCTGTGGCAAAGGAGCACCTCTGTTGGTTTCAAAACCCTGGGGAGAAAGATACATAGCTCATTACTATGGTTCCTTTCTTAGATTTGCTTTTGGAAACACTTAAATGAAAAATGAATAGTTGTGCTAGGTTTATAGCAATAAAACCTCCCAACTGGGACCTCCTCCTACAGACCTACTAAGGGGCAATGAGCAAAAGGGCCCAGGGATGCAAGGTGTGGGTGCAGGGAAGGGATGCTTCCTAGACGGCAAACATTCTTTTGGGTGCCCAATGCTGAGAACCAGAAGAAAACCTGAGCCATCTCATCCACCTCACTTACTTGGCAATGAACATCTTATTGGAGAAGGGCTCCGACTTCGAGATAGCTGGAAAATATAAAAATGGAATGTGAATGACACAGCAGATGGAACTCTAAGGGGAAATCCTTTGGAAATGTGTTTTCCTAAAGCCATCTAAATAGTTGCTCTGAGGTACTTCAGAACTAGCATTTTTTCCCCTAAAGTCAACCACTGTGATTCCTTCAATACTTGCTAAAGTAAATGGGCACTCAGTTTGGTTTAAATTATATTATTAATTAAAATTGGTGCAATGGCCTAAGAGCACCCACATTGAATGAAATGCTTTGCAGAAAATAATTAACTGCTTAGAGCTAAATCTGTGGTGGACATTTTTCATAAATTATCCTATGTGTCCAAAATTCTGCCTTAGTAAGGTCCCCAGGCAGCCAGAAAAGAACCATTTTTCAAGTCTCACCTTTACTTTCACTACATGAGAAGCACCACAGTCACTATGCCTGTTACAGCTCAAAAATAACTGGCCACAAGTAAGAGTCTTGCTCTGAGCTTTCAAACACTTTAGATACACAGATGCTAATGAAGATGCAATCTGTTCTGGATGAATCCTGACCTTAAGAATCCCCCAGACCAGACTAACCAAAAATAGGTGTAGTATATTTTACAGTGTACTCAGTTTCACTGGGGGAGAGGATGATGAAAAGAGAAATATGGGGGCCGGCACTGTGGCGCAGTGGGTTAACATCCTGGCCTGAAGCGCCGGCATCCCATATGGGTGCCAGTTCGAGACCTGGCTGTTCCACTTCCAATCCAGCTGTCTGCTATGGCCTGGGCAAGCAGTAGAAGATGGCCCAAGTCCTTGGGCCCCTGCACCCACGTGGGAGACCCAGAAGAAGCTCCTGGCTCCTGGCTTCAGATCAGTGCAGCTCTGGCCGTTGTGGCAAATTGGGGAGTGAACCATCAGATGGAAGACCTCTCTTTCTCTTCCTGCCTCTCCTCTCTCTGTGTAACTCTGACTTTCAAATAAATAAATCTTTAAAAAAAAAGAGAGAAATATGGCATCTGTCTTACCTCTGAGAATATACTGATTTTACCTCTAAAATGTAAACATGTTTATTCTCCCTTGGCACAAAGTAAGAGGGAGACAGAAGGTGGTCCAAACATGTGTGGGGCTTGCCAAGAGGACACTGCCACAGACAGGCCTTCCCATCAGAGTCCTCACACCGTGTCCTGGCGGGAGCACACTGGAGCCCATCACCACTCTTTCTTCCCATACACAGTTTTCCCTCAGAACGGGGAGAACTGTGACTCTCCTGGGATAGCGCTCCCAACATCTCCTTTGTATCGATCAGTCCACCAAATGCACTATCCTATTTGAAAATCTGGACTATTAAGCTACAGCGAAGTCTCTAAGAGCAAAAAGACTGTGGCGGGCTTGCCTTTCCCACTTCGCCAGTGTTTCCTAGGCCTGAACGTCCTCACCAATTGCCTGGCCAACTGAAATTCCACCCATTCTAAAAGATTAAGTCAAAGACCAACTCCCCCATGAATCCCTTCCTGACCACCAAATCCAGAAGCAATCTCTGTCTCCTCTGATAGTTCTAGCCCTTGTCCTGTCTATAGTGTATCACATTGTGGACTCAATTTTTATTTCCAGACTGGATTGCATTCAGTTCATTTGTATCTTCCTATATCGAGACTCATTTTCAGGAAAGAGAACATCTTTGAGTCACTTTCTTATCCCTCCCAAATCTAGCCTCCAGGAGATACAGAAGGCATGCTTGAGAAGAAGCGTAATGATAGATGCTCACTAAACTCAAGCAGAAAGGCTGGTCTTACTGCCTGCTGGCTTTTTGTTTGGGGTTTTGCCAAAGAGGTCTTGCTACTTTAGGACTACAGCTGGATTTCTAGAGACAATTTCATAGAAGTGGACATTTGCCGGGCATGGTTCTCCTCTACTCTCTCTGTCTTCAACCAAGTTGAACAAATATTTAAAGAATCTTTATATGAAGGAACAGTGGATTGTTAACCTATACAATGTCCACATGTCTTGGTCCAGTCAAAAGCCATTGACTAAATATTGTTTTTGGAATAAATAAACAATAGCAAATCACAATATTTTGAGGGGTGTTATCTCCATAGTTTTCATAGATGTTTTATTTATCTTTCTTTGATGAAAGTATTAGTTTTCCTTCCGAGAACAAATACACAAAGAAACTAAGCGGGGCCGGCACCATGGCTCACTTGGTTAATCCTCTGCCTGCGGCGCCAACGTCCCATATGGGTTCCGGGTTCTGGTCCCAGTTGATCCTCTTCTGGTCCAGCTCTCTGCTGTGGCCTGGGAGGGCAGTGGAGGATGGCCCAAGTGCTTGGGCCCTTGCACCCACATGGGAGACCAGGGGGAGGTGCCTGGCTCCTGGCTTTGGATTGGCACAGTGCCGGCCATAGTGGCCATTTGGGGAGTGAACCAACAGAGGGAAGACTTTTCTCTGTCTCTTTCTCTCCTGTCTATAACTCTACCTGTCAAACAAATTTAAAAAAAAAAAAGAAACTAAGCTTATTTTTTCCTAACTTGAAGTTGAAACAAATTAATTTCCACAATGCACTTTATAAAGTACTGAAATCCTGACCATTTGAGCAATTTCTCCAAGTTCTCACAATAATTCCTAGAGAATCCAGGGATCTGTCCCCAGATAGGTTGACTAAGGCACCATTCTCTGTCCAGAAGACTACCTGAGCTCCAATAGTCCCTTTCATTCAAAGATAAAAGTAAAAATATGAAAAAACAGAAATTCTATTATTCTTTGAAGTAATTAGGAAAAAAAAAACCTGTTTCCTTCTTTCTAAACTGATTAAACTCCTTAGCCCACAGCAGTTTGACCATCATTTTGGAGTTAGTATTACTGCAACAGGTCCTCTTTCTTCCTATAGATTTAAAATCACCTCTTTTATAGGTGATTGTTGAAGTAAAGTGTCTACCATACGATGTTTTGTGTAAAAATGATGAGAGAGATATGTACCGTGCTTAAACCAATACGGCTACGTGGGCAGACCGGACTCAAACTCCTGCTTCGACATCGACTTACAGATCGAACTGAATTCCACTACAAAAAAAAAAAAAAAAAAGAGAGAGAGAGAGAGAGAGAGAAAAATAAAAATGGTCAAGAGCCTATGAAGACTCAGACAACTTAAAGCACCAAGCAGATCACACAGAATGACTAGTTCTGATAGGGTTATCCTTGCCTGTTCCTGACAATCAGCATGAGCTACACTCCTTTCAGTTCCTAGAGCTGCCCAGTAGTGGGCCACAACTTAAAACCTCATTACAATGTACGAGGGGATATTCAGATTCCTGGGGCAAGCAGAATTGCATTATGAGTAAGCAGTTAAGAAATTGCATTTGGGTTTTCAAGTACTAGAGAATACATGCTTCATGTAGGTAGGATCTGTGTCTGTTTTATTCATTGCAAAATTCCTAGCTCCTAAACACAGGCTTAGGTCATAAGTAATGACTGAAAAATATAAATATTATCGAATGAAATAAGCGAAACATTACTGCTGCCCATGGACCCTTGAAAACTCTAGTAACTAATTTGAGATTTTTACCAGTAAAATCCTTCTTAGAAATGCCCCTTCCTTCAACTCTTTTCTTTCCCAAGTTCTTCCTTGTAGGGGGTCACCATTTTGTCTCATGGTGTATGCCTGCTAGTGGTTGTTTCCTCCCCTCCCTTGCAAACTGCACTGCAGATGAGAGTTTCTGAGCAGAGAGTGATGTAAGGCAAAACGCTAGTTTTGAAAGATCGTTCACTGTAGCACACATGTGATTGTCAGAGCCCCAGAATCCAGTTGCTATGGGCTCCCTACCACAAAATACTTTATTGTGGCAGGATTCACTGGGGGACTTTAAAGCTACAAAATCCCTTAGTAGACATTTTTGAAAATAAACCACTCCCCTTCCCTGTAAGTAGGTAAAGCTGCCATGCCCAGCTCCTCCATTCTCAGGTTCAAAGGGAACAGGGACAGAAACCAGCCAGAGTGGCTTTGCTGCTAAGGGGATTCAGCGCAGAATTTATTCAGCTCTTTCTAGGAAATGCAGGCATAAAAATGACACAATAGAAACTCTGCAGAATAACCAAGCTCTCATGTCACTAGTTCCAGCCCCCAGTTGTTCAGATGCATTACAACACACACACACTCACACTCCCAAGGCTCCGTCATGAACACTGCTTAACTATTTAACATGTTCAAAACATCCCATGACCAATGTATGGAAGAAGCAACTTCCAAAACTGAGTGGCTCCGCTGACTCCATCTCCTCTACCCGCTTCCCTCCATCCATCCCCTCCCTACACATCATACCAAGGAGAGAAAGATGGCACATCCTGCTTCCCAAAATGGATAATTGTCAGCAAAAATTTGGCAAATGGTTTCCTGATAGTTAATTAATCACTTCTAAGTGTTTAGAATTATTGAAAGCCTCCCTTCAAGTTCAAAGAACTCAGTTCATAAAATGGCATCCTCCTTCTATGACAGTGGAGGCACTTATGACCAGTTCCATCTTATAAATACAGCAACACATGAAGATATTACTCATCTTCATCAGGGAATTACGAAGACCCATGGAAGAATCAAAGAAAACAGGAATCTGTTCTTCCTAAGACCATCTCCTTTTTCTCCTTTGTATGAAATATTATCAAACCACTCTTTATGAATTTCTTTTATAGAATCTCTGGGTTTATAAATGTTCTCGAACTTGTGAATCAAACACTTGGGATGAACTGTCATTATGCAAGGCCACCGTACAAAAGCCCCTCTCCTGGTGACAGCTTCTCCCTTCATAATGACACAGTCATTCTCCATGAGAGCAGGCCACACGTGATACAAGACCAAGGGAGCTGTGAAATCCGAGTCATAGCTGCGGCGGTACCTGTTGGGAAGAGACAAGTGACAAGAAAGAGAGGTAAGCAACTACAAGGCGTAACTGGGGAGCGGGGGTGCTGGTGGTATAATTTCATTATACTGGATCTAGATAAATATGGGTTCTGTTATTAAAGTGATGACTGTGGGTACTCAGAATAGGAACCAGTGGTAAGTAAGACCCAGTATGGACTCTAGTTCCAAGACATGTCACTCTGATTTTATTCTGTTTCTTCACAAGGTCACAAGAATTGCAATTCAGGAAACTTCTAGAGATATAGATTATCTGAAGCCCATAAGGTTTCTATCAAATCTTGCATGCTATCCCTTCGGACAAAATAAAATAAACATAGGTGGATGATAAACTTGAGCAGGTGATTGGAGACTGGCTCAAGGATCATATCTAAAGAGGGAAACTTAATGGGTCAATGGGAACCTGACTGATGATGCTGGGGGCTCCCTCTTTAATGCAATGATGCCAACATGTCTATCAATGATTTGTGAGAAATGTAGAAAATATACTCAAAGGTGTGGGTGAAGAGTAAAAAAATTACAACAGATGAAGTGTCAAAAAAAATCAGCAGGCTGGAATAATAAGCTGGAGCTAATAAGATAGATTGCAATGTGGACACATGTGAGGTCCTGTAGTTGAGTCAAAGAAGTATTTAATTGCACAAAAAGAGGATACACATGGCTTAGTCAAAGCACAAGTGAAACTGTAATGGGTTTTAGTGGTACTCAAAAGGAGTCAACAGTGTTATAAGGCAGCAAGATAGGAAGAAAGAGGAGAGAGAGAGAGGAAGGAAGGAAGAAAGGGAGGGACATACTAGGGAACAGAAAAATGAAGCAACGTGCCCTCACTACTAGGGCTTGAGGCCAGTCAGTGCTCCTACCAATAGCTTGGGCTCTTCCCAAATAAGGTCTAGCTGTATGCTAAAATCTCAAGAAATAGCAACAAAGTGCTTTAAACTCAATATCTTCCATCTTGTATGTAAAAGATTTACCAAGTAATGCCTGGTTGAAACCAAATGGTCCTGGACAGAAGAGTTCAGAGCATTCCTTCTGAAATATTAGTGTGGTGTGCATAAGGAACACCCGGGTGCCTGTTAAGTTTCCAGTTCTTGAGCTCCACCCTAGACCTGCTGCATAGACTATCATGGAATGTGGTCCAGAAATGTACATGTTTAACCAGCACCTTGACTGATCTGATGCAGATGATCCACATACCATACCTTGACCTAAATAATGTAATTAAAAACAATAAAATGTAATATGCATATTTATTTGCATAGAATATTTTTATGAAAAGGAAAAAAAAGGGCTTTGAGCAGCCACCAAGTACTCATTAGTTCTTCCCAAAGACCAATGGCAAACAGGAGAGGGCTCTGCCTTGTAGTGCAGGGAATCACAAGGCAGGGCCTAGCAATCTGGTAGTATCTATTGATTCCCCCACCCCCACCCCAAATTCCTTTCCATAGGCAATTCCCAGAGAACAGAGATAAGGCCATGTATTAATTAGGAATCTCTGAGTGTTTGCTCTGTGTCTCTTACTTGCAATCATTAAAAATCTCTCCATCTGCCCCAAATGCAATATCTAGAGGTGGCTCTAATGACTGCATGGCAAAAGCGATGCAACATATCTCCTGGATGAAGTCGCTGAGGAGGCAAAAGTCAACCTCAGGAGGGAATGATATCTTGGGGTTGACATTCATGGCTCGGATCACATCCTAAAAAACAAAAGATGGCATCACTTTGTTACCAACCTGCGACAAGAGACTCCAGCACCCTATGGATGTTATGACTGATGGGAGGTAGTAGGAGGGCACATGAGCGAACCAAAGTTCAGAGTACTAGAAGGAGAAAGATGCTGCCCCTCATTAATGGGCCAGGAGGAAAAGCAGCCCAGAGTACAGATGACACACTGAAGACCAGGAACAAAACCTCCTGTGGCTTTTATTATTTCCTCATTTTTCTGTTCTGGTAAGTGTATGACATACCAACACAGAACTCTGAATTGTTCATAGCCCATAAACATTTACCAGTAATGCGCCAAGTACTGTGCTAAGCAAATGACCTGCTTCCTTCCATTTAATCCTCTCAACAACTCTATGGGGTAATGGCCACTGCTGTTCCCAGTTAAAGGTTTGCAGACCAAGGCACAGATAGGTTAAGCAAATGTGTAAGGTCACATAGCAGGCAAGTGGCAGAGTCAGGATGTAAATTCCCACTGCTCTTTCTTAAAGTCCTTGCTCTTAAGAACTACAGCATCTGTCTCCCAATTTACTGAAGGGCTCAAATGTGGACTAGAACTCGGAGGCTCAGAAAACCGCTCCCCATTAACTAAGAAGTAGCCAACAGTGCCTAGCACCAGTAAATCAGCGGCTGCTCCCTTCTTCCCATCACATAGGTAGTACTAAACACTGGCTGGGTTCCTGAGCTCTTACACTCCATGTAAAGAAGCCCTCACAAGAGGGCCAACACCTACATTAACACTGCTTTGGGAGTCATAGAGATCCAGATGACAAACGATGTAGTCCGAGACAGCATTTTCAAAGTCATTGGACCCCACGTAGGATGCTGTCAGTGACTTCCTCACACGGATCTTGAAATGTCTGAAGGCCATTTTCGCTACATGGAATGCCTCCTGCACGTGAAAACAGCAAGTTTATTTGGTGGCAGGAGGTAGGTAAAGAAGTCCAAAGCAAAGAATTAGAAAGACTCAAAAATGCAGCATCATATTGGTCTTCTGATAACTAACTGAAGTTGGCCAAAAGTATTTTCAATCTGGGAGAAAATACATCTCTTAATTTTGAAAAGTACTTAAATACATCCAGTATGTTCCCTCTTAAACACAGTTATCTGTGGTCAAAGGTCCAAAAATATTACTAGTGCAATGCGAGATGATGATATTTGAAAAGAGTGAAAGAGAGATCACATTCCTATAACTTTTATTACAATATAGGATTCCTAGTATCTCAATATGGGACTTAAAGACAAATATATTTGCTTTGGAAATTAAGATTATATTTATGCACTTCCAAAACAATTGTTTCTAATTTATTTGAGAGAGAGAATGAGCACCAGTCTGCTAAAAAATAAGAATGAGGATAAGAGAGGGAGGAGGAATAAGGTGGGAGGGAGGGTAGGGTGGGAAGAATCATTATGTTCCTAAATTTGTATATATGAAATGCATGAAGTTTGTATACCCTAAATAAAAGGTTTCTAGGTTTAAAAAAAAAGAAGAAATTTATTAGAAAAGCAATAATAATAATAAAAAGAACTGAAGAAACCAAATGACCTAGCAAAAATACTTGTATCTGTTCTGTGTGTGCACCTATGCCCATATTGGACAAAATATACAGTGCAATTCAACATAGTGTACAGCCATTTGAGATGTCGGCTGTCTACAGGTATTCCTTCAACATATGTCTGGTCAATGTTAAGTAACACATGTAGTACTCTCATATTGTTGATGGTGAAGAATGAGTCGTTGCAAATATGTGCAATGCAGGGAAGGAAGGAAGGAAGGGAGGCAAGGGAGAGTTGGAGAAGCTGTGCCACCCCTCCCCTCAGCGACCGCAGGGTGCTCTGGACTCCCGGCCACAGGCGCACACGTACCACTGCGGCGATGTAGATGATTCGTTGCACCGTCTCGGCCTTGTCGATGCAGCGCCGCAGCAGGCACTGCGCGTCCAGGCGGGCCTGGGAATAGGCGTCGCTGAACCGCGACAGGAGGGCAGCCTTGCGCGCCACGCTGGACAGTTTGGAGCGGTTGGGGGATGGGCTCCTGATCTTGGCCACTGCAGCGGAGGGGCTGGCAGATCGACTGCGGCTCCGGCTGCGGCTCCGGCTGCGGCTCCGGCTGTGGCTGCGGCTGTGGCTGCGGCTGTGAGGGCCTGGGCTAGGAGACCGGCTCCTGGCTGACCTGTTGGTGAACAAGAATGCGCCAGCGAAACCCTTCTCTGTTGGCTCCGGACTCTTGTTCTCCTCCCCACAGAAATGGCAATGACACACGGGAGCCCTGGACCCTCAAGTTCGACCTCGAGCAAGAAAAACATTTCCTGTCTGCACCTTGAGTTAGCATTTGCAAAGCACTTTCACTCATTTCCCCACATCGCTTTATCCTTAAACAACCCTGAGGCCAGGTTTGAGTGTTGGTCATTTTACAGATGAGGAATTAGAAGCTCAGAAAAGTGAATGGGACTCTTCTGGAGTAACTCAGGTAGCGAGAGCCAGAGTTGAGCAGATCGGAGTCCAGTTTTGGTATTTCTTACCCTGCCCTTGGGTATTAACATAGCACACAAGCACATCCCAAGGGCTCTGTGGCATAAAGTGGAACAGACACTGATTGAACAAAGAAAAGAAGGTCCATGTTCTCATCCAGTTCCAGACCACGTCTGCCACCATGTCTGCTCCTGCCTTGGTTTTCACATTTGTCACTACTGCCCTATTTGGGGGAGTGGGGGGGGATGGGAGATGGGGGCAGCTAATGCACACAGAAGTACTTGGTAAAGTATAAAGTACTCTATTGCTGAAAACCATATTGCTACCAAACATGCAAAGTCTGTTTGCACTATATCAAGTACCAAGTAAATTATCAGACTAGCTAGTCCAAAGGAAATGCTAACCACCCCCTCCCTTGCACCCCCAGCCAAAAGGGAGATTTTAGAGAAGAAACTGGGGGGGGGGGTTAAAACAGTGCAGGGGTGTGCTAATAAAGATGCCCTATGGAGTGGGCTGGGTTGGGGACACTTTCATTCACAGCGTTTGCCAATTCCCACAGTGTACATGCTGGCCCCTTGGCAGAAAAGCCAAAATGAGCTATAAAAAAGAACTATCCTGCAGTAAAACGGAGTTGGAGAGGGGGCTTCTAGGCCTCCAAGGAAAGGCGCCTCATGGCATGGAGTGTTCTTTCAACATGGCCAGTGCCACCTCTCATGCACATTCACACAAGTCCGTTTCAAACCAAAGAACTTTCCTTCTGCACATCTCTCAGTCCAAAATTAATCAGTGCTCAAGTACTGGCAACCCCGGAGGTGCTCGCGCTCTCTCCGGAAGGGTCCAGTTAAAGAAAATAAGCCCCTTATAGTCCCAGCTTGCCCTGCTGCTGGGGTTGGGGATGCTCTTGCCCTGTTTTCCCTCCCAGGCCAGGCTTGCACCGTGAACTCAAAGGGAAGAGCGTAAATGAAACATGTGTTGGAGTTGGTCAGACCTTCCTTGGAGACTCGCTTTTTCAGCGGACAGCACGGCTATCTCGTCCTTCAGGTTTCGGAGCTGTTTCTCGTAGTCGGAAATCACATCCGAGCCCCGCTGGTCCCGCTGGTCTGGGCTCCGCTTGACCGCACACCCCTGGTCCGATTTCCGCAGGTCAGAGCCTCGCTGATCTGAGTGCCTAGGCTCTGAGCTCCTGTGGCGGGCCTCCTCCTGGGCTTGAAGAGATTTAAGCCTGAACAGCAGAAAGACAGAGATGGGAGGAGTGGGGAGGAGCAAGTTGGGGTAGGGAGAGGAGAAGGAGGTGGAGGAGGGGGAGGAGAAAGGAAAGGAAGGGAGGTAAGAAGGAAGGATGGTTATAAGCAACAATTGGAAGGCTGAACGATTAGAAGGCTGCTCTACTTGGTATGCCATTGCTGTGCTGGAAAACTCGGATGGAAACATGAACACATTAGCATGGCGGAAAACTGCCAGGACCAGGGTGCCACTCCACATCTGCAGCTTGCATGGGGAAAGGCTCCCAACAAGGGAAGGATACTTATGCAGATCCTCTAGCGAAAGAGAATGGACCTCGAGTCACCGTTGTTCCACACGGAACTGATCTTCACTGCACAAATCCTGAAAACATGTGACCTGCAGGACCTAGTCCAGAGCTGGTCTAAGAGAGCGTCTCCTGGCCTCACTAGTGCGTCAATCCTCTGATCAAATGGAAAGCAATGATGGAAACTGAATCACATCCACAAGGCTAGCTGGAAGTGTGGACCTACGAAAACAACACAGCATGAAAACAAACAAACAAAAGCTTTGCAGAGAAAATTGGCCGCCTCATGAAGTTACAAGAGGCCTGGGCACCGTAAAACAGAAGCAAAAGCCCGAAGAAGAGAACATGCTGTGTGGAAAATGACAGTGGTGTGAGTAAGCTAGAAAGGTGGGAGGTAAGGATGTAGAGAAGGCTGAAAATTCATAGCAGAATGAAAAACTGCACCAGGGACAGGGCAGAACAGAATCAGTACTACAAGAAATCGAGGGATAATATGATCAATGAGTTGGAGAAGATTTACCACACAGAAAATAAGAGATTCAAACAGAAGGAAAACGGAAGTAGAAAGCAGCATAGCGTTCCAAACCGAAGTGTATGGGTATTCCTGAAAAAGCTGCAACAATTGGGGCATGTGAAGACAATCGAAAGAGTGTGTGTATGTGCATAAAATACACCTATCACTTGGTGTTTTGGGGGTAGGGGAATAAAAATTAGTATCAAAGAGGATGTCATATTAAAGGATCAGTGTTTATTTTTTCCTTCTAGCATTTTAGCTTTAGGGAATAAACTGAAATTTAAGATTTTCCACAAAATTATCCCCAGTGTTGAAAATTAGTATCCAAGTAAACATCCAGTGTTTGAGAAATATCCAAGTAACTGAATGTGACAGACCTATTTAAAACTGAGTTCCATAGTCTGCTTTTCGTACTGAGAAGAGGAAAACTATGTTAAGTAAAAAAACTAAAGTCCCAAATCATACACTTATATATTTTGTTCTTGTACACTTAATTCTCTGAGGGAACTTTAAAAAGTTCATGGAAAATTTGTATTAAGAAAAAAAAAACATGCATGAGTTTCAAAATGTTTTTGTGCCAAATATACTTATGTTTTAATTCCATTTTCCATGAACTTTTTGAAGTACTCTCATTTTGAGAATACATTTTAATTAGGAGGAATACTGAAAGGTAGCAACAACTGGCCCTAGAATTAAGAGAGCTTTTAGACCTTTGTACTACACTGTACTTTCTATAGTACATAGACCATATTTCTATAGTAAGAAAAATATATGAAACAATAATGGAAAACAGTTTCCTTTTCTCTTTGATTGCGAGCAGACTATTTCACACTGTAATGAAGCACCAAAAAAGCTAAGTTCAACAATTACTCAGCAGGCTGCAAAAATCCTGTCATTTTTTTTCTTACTGCTTTTTTAGCTGATTTATTTCCTCCTCTGCAGCCAAAAGGGAGATGACCGATCTGTTCTTGGTTTCTTCAAGAGTCTTTCCAGTTCCAGCACGACTGTAAGGGAAATCAGTAACTAAAGACAGATGTTTCAAAATTGGCAGACTTTCTAAATCAAGGCATAGGGTCTCTTGAGAACTTTTGGCATGTGTTATAAATTCAGCATAAATAAGATTAAATAATAAGACTCCTGCATTTACTTAAACAATATTGCAAATATTATGGTGGAGTTTTGTGCAAAAACATGTTTTCATCTTTTGCTCAATGTTAAATACAAGTTACACAGCTTCCACCCCTAAAGAATATGAAATAATTATTAATATTAGAATGTAGAACAAAGAAATACATTCAATTCTTCTTTCTCACCCTCCTAATTCATCTGCTGTAATTAAAATAGAGCCCCAGGTTGCCTTTCTCTATAAAATCCATTTTCTACAATATACCAATACCTATTCTCATTCACTGCACTGTAGAGCTGCTTTTGACTTCTTTTCTCAGATTTCCTAAACATAAACAAAAAAGAATTATTCAACCCACCTGTAAAGACAGTCCTCCACAATCACACCTAACCACCAGGAACTTCATGCCACCTACATCTGACTTCCACGACTTTCAGAACAAAATTTCCCTGAGTTTTCAACGTAGCTTGGTCATTACTAGTTTCAAGGACTCTCTTCACTGTACACAAATCATAATCAATCATACTCTTTCTTTGGGTCTATCTAAACTTCAACACAAATGGGAGAGGGAAGGATAACATGGATGAAGACCAATGGCTCTCAGTGAAGCTGCCCTGGTACAGTGAGACATCAAGGGTCACTGTGGGTTTCCTGACCTCTGAGCATGCCTCTCTGGGACATCTTGTTTCCTTCATCACAGGACTCCTCAGGCTGGGAGCCAACCCACCACCCTTTCTCCTTCTCTTTAGGTAAAAGAACAGTAGAAGGTTAAACACGGGGATCCTCACCTACAGATTGAGGCAAATTGAGAAGTCATGGACTAACAGGATCCCTCTGTCAAGTCACAGATTCTCAACCAATCAGATACTCCAGATTCCATCCCAGCCTTCCTCTTCCTCTAGTAAAGGCCCACCCATTGAGTGCCCTGATCTCATATGTCTGATCGCTCATGCAAGGTGTGCCCCCTCCTGAGCTTCATTCACATGTATCTCATCACATTCACACTGCAGACTACTTGAGGGCAGGGATTTTATTTGATTCATCTCTGCCCCCAGCACCTCAAACAGTGCCTGTCACATAGTTGATTTTTTTAATGAAAAATAAATGTTTGAATGAATGAATGAAATGTCTAAAAGCTAAAGGAAAGCTCAAGTAGCCCAATGTCACAATATGGCTATTGGAGGTTGAAAGGTAATCAGCTGGATTTAATTAAAAGGAGAATATGTTACAATTTTCAAAAAGTAAATATGGGAATATTAACATTTTTATCAAGAGAAACCCACAGAAAATGAAAAAGAAAACAGAGTGAGAAAGGAAGGAAAAGGCAAACAGAAATAAAGAAGTTTGTTTTTTCTACCAACACATAGCATAAATGTATGAGCACAAACACATAACAAGTGAACATACAAGCTCATTTCATGTGCCTGGATGACACAGAGAAGAAGGTGAAGTACATTCATGTGCCAAGAATTGTTTTAATCAGGTCAGCACTCTATTTAAATGTTTTCCTATGAATTCATTTGTTCAACAACAGTATGGGGGAGGCATGATGCTCAGTGCTGCTGATACGACAGCATCAGAATAGCAATAGAAGCTCGATTCCAAAGGTCATGGGAAATGGAGTTAAAAGATATGCTTATATCACTTCTTGGCCTTTGGCTAAGATCAAGTGTAAAATATCTTATTTTGGTGCAAAAATTTTGAAATCTATACATGTTTTTTCATAATACACATTTTCTATGAATATTTTGAAGACCCATCCTATGGATGAATTTCAAAAATGTTGGCAGCATATTAAAACTATCTTTTAACTCCACTTTCTATGAGGCATTTGAAGTACCCTCATCAAAACACAATAATTCTTTGGAGTTCCCATTCTAATAGGGGAGACTCATCATAAATATGTAAAAGCATGTCCATTTTTCTGAAAGTTCTGAATTGTGCTGAGTGCTATTATGAGAAAATTTGATTACTGTGAAAGAAAACTAGAGGGCTCGAAGAGAAGAGGAAGATCTTACAGTGTTTGATGGCCACAGGTAGACTCTGGGAACGTCACATGTAAGCTGAGACCTAAAAAATAATAAAGAACCAGCCATGCAAAGGAAGAGCCAGTGGCAGACTGGAAAGTTCTTTCAGGCCAGTAGAAGAACACGCACAAAGGCCTCAAGATCACGAAGTAGACGGTGGTGGAGTCAGGGGAGGGACACACACAGCATTGGCAGGGCCAGCCCAGGCAGGACACTGTGAGAGCCCTGATAAGGAACACAGACGTTTTTCTCTAATTATAAAAGAATATAAATAGCTTTTAGACTGAGGGGGTGACTTGGTACAATAAAAATAAACATATTTTCTATGTGGAAAATGGATTGCAGATGACCAAGCATGGAAGCCAGATGGAAGGCAACTAGGTCAAGAAATTTCAGAGCCTTGAACTCTGGCAGGGCAATGGAATAAAAAGAAAGGGACAAGTGTGAGACATCTGTCAGAGGCAGAATCAATAGGACGTTCTCACAGATTGGCTATGAGATGAGGAAAAGTGAGATTCAAACCAGAGGCACAGCACCTCCCAGCCTTCCTTTGTCTGGAATTTCATCCCCCTAGGGTGGTCCTGCCCCTGTCTTCCCTGGACCACTGGAATCTGCACCTGTGGAACTGAGTCAGAACCAAACCAGCCTCCACAAGGGTGGGCATGGGTACCTCCTTTGGTGGGCCATTGCTTCCATAGCAGGTAGCACCCTGGCCTTGAGAGATGTGGAGGCAGAGTGACAAAGAGCTGGCTACCATAGAATATGAGAAGCAGGCTCTATCATGTGTGAAACCACAAATGAAAAAATAGAATAAGAACCAAAGGTCAGTTAAAAACAAATCTGGGGAATCCAGGAAAACACAGCAAGTGCCATCATGCACACAACTTTGGAATGGTCATGGGAGTGGGGCGAGTGTGCATGTAGAGAGCACACACATAACTGGAAAAGCAAGTAGGGCAAAAGACATACAACAGGGCATGTATATGTTGCTAGTACTGTTCTTGCAAATTTCCTGTTTGAAATTATTTCCCCCCAAAAATGTGGTTTTTTAAAGAGCATGCAAGCTTTCATAAAGTTCCTTGGTGCCCTTTTATAGATGACAATATAGCCACTGTACAAGATGGGGCAGTGGTCATTTCCATCTCCAGTTGGTGCTGACAGATATCAGGAACCAGCAAAGTCTCGAAGCCCTGCCTCACAACTGGAGGCAAGTGGGAGGGTCCTCATCACTTGAGCAGATGCCCGCTTTCACCCCCAGCAAACCTAGCTGGATGAGGCCCAACTCAAGGCCCAACAGCACAAGACACTACAGCCTGCAGTAGGGGAGTGGGTGAGGGGAGGGGAGGTGTGAACGAAGACAAGCAGGAACCAGAGAGCAGTGCAAAACCAAAAGCCCCTCTCCTCCAGCACCAGGAGAGTGTACAAGCACCCCTCCAGTAGTTGCCAATCTAAGGACAGATGAGGGGAATACAGAGTCCATGAGAGAGCAAAGACAGCTCTTACTGGAAGTTCACACTTGGTATTCACTGAGTATTTACACAAAGCAACTGCAATAAACCAGAAGAGGCCAGGTTACCTTGAAGTGGCACATTTAAGGATGCTCCTCCCCCAATTCCAAAACCTACTGACATGAGTTGAAATGTAAATATGCTTTTATTGCATATTACAGTTGTAAATTTTGATTGTGGCAGCTATGCAACTACTAGTTGACTATGATGCCAATTAGAAAAATGAATGGATGTGTGTGTGTGTGTGTGTGTGTGTGTAGGTGCAAGCACATACAAGAAAAAATGTCTAAAGTAAAACATACCAAAATGTTAATAGGGATGAGATGGGTAATGTTCATCTTTATATTGTTATTTGTTGTGTGCATTTTGAGAAGGACATTTGTATTACTTTTATAATTAGGTAAAACTAAATCAATAAAGATATTTTCCTTTTGGTGAGAAAGAAGGAAATTTCATCACAGGACAAGCAGAGTGCCACACATTACTTTGAGCCAAGCCTTTACTTTGCTGTCCTGTTCATGTTAACAATGGAGCAATGCTATTGCAGGAAAAACACCTTACTGATGGATTTTTTTATATGTCAAATGTAGTTTCATACATATTTGTCTGAGTTCCTCAAGTATAGACCCAAAGTCTGCAATTTTGTTTGCAGTGATTCCCTAATTTTGCTATCCTGGCTCTGCCCACAGCTAGAAGGTTCTCTTCTCTTCTCTTCTCTTCTCTTCTCTTCTCTCTCTCTCTCTCTCTCTCTCTCTCTCTCTCTTGGAAATTCTGCTCCCCAACTTCTCTCTCTGGTCTGTCACTCTGCTTTTCAAATAAATTAATAAATAAATCTTAAGAAAAGAAACCTCAATTGTCTTTAAAGAAAAAAAAAACTTTCTCCCAAAAGATAGATTTGCATCTAAACTGTATTTACTTGTTTATAAATATGCACCAATGATGCGACTATGGAAAATGAGCTCTACGAACTGAGCTGAGAGACCAGGGATCATAACATTGTATAGATAATCTTGTGCCCAACTCAAAGACACTGACTCACACTGCACACACACACACACACACACACACACACATCATATTACTAATTTCCTAATGCCCATATTTGAAACTGAGAACAACTGTTTTTGGAAAAGATAACTTGCATTCCTCTTACTCGTCTTGAACCTGGTTGAGTTGAATACGAGTTGTGTTCAGTTCATAGTCCAGTTGTACATCTCGATCCCGAGGATCAGACTCCTTATGTCTCTCCCTATCAAATGTGTCCTGGGAACACAAATTAGAACACAGTCTGAGTTCATGAAATGACACGGGCTGATTTCCAAATCATGCTGAGCAAAAGGCAGGCACAAAGGAGCACATAATACATGGTCCCAATTACAAGAAGTTCCAGGGCAGGCAACGTTCATCTACAGTGACACAAATCAGAACAGCGGTGTCTCGGCGCGCCGGGGGGGGGGGGGGGGGGGGGGGACACGAAGAACGCTCCAAGTGACAGGAATATTTTATATCTCAGTGGAGGTGTTAATTACATGAGTACATGCAGTTGTCAAAATCTACCAACCTCTGAGTTTCACTCTCTATGAGGGTACTTCAAAATGTTCATGGGCAATGGGCACAGGCTAAGTTTACATGGGCATGCATTTAGCCTAGTAGTTCAGATGCCAGTTAAGACATCCGCATCTCTCATTGGTGTGCCTGGGTCTCACACCAGCTCCACTCCTGAGTCCAGTTTCTGGCTAATGTACACCCCGGGAGGCAATAGTGATGGCTCAGTAATTGGGTTACTGCCATTCGTAAAGGAGACCTGGATTGAGTTCCAGACTCCAAACTTCAACCTGGCCCAGTCCTGGCCATTGTGAGCATTTGTGGAATGAATCGACAAACAAGAGTGCTCTCTCTTAGGCCGGCGCCGCGGCTCACTAGGCTAATCCTCCGCCTAGCGGCACCGGCACACTGGGTTCTAGTCCCGGTCGGGGCTCCGGATTCTGTCCCGGTTGCCCCTCTTCCAGGCCAGCTCTCTGCTGTGGCCAGGGAGTGCAGTGGAGGATGGCCCAAGTACTTGGGCCCTGCACCCCATGGGAGACCAGGAGAAGCACCTGGCTCCTGGCTCCTGCCATCGGATCAGCGCGGTGCGCCGGCCACAGCACGCCAGCTGCAGCGGCCATTGGAGGGTGAACCAACGGCAAAAGGAAGACCTTTCTCTCTGTCTCTCTCTCTCACTGTCCACTCTTCCTGTCAAAAAAAAAAAAAAAGAGTGCTCTCTCTCTCTCTCTTTTTCTCTCTCCTTAGTTTTCAAGTAAATTTTTAGAAACATACTGAAATCCGTACATAAGAGGAGTCATCACAAAGCTCATGAAAATGCATATTATGAAAAAAGTTATGCACGGATTTCAAATTTTTTACATCAAAATAAAGGTATCTTTTAATTTCATTTTCCACAAACTTACAAATATCCTGGAATAAATTATAAGTCAATTTTTAGGATTAAAAAAAGACTTGGAAACATCATCTTAAATCCCAGAATAATACCCACAGGGGTGAAAAATCTGAGAAGCCTCCAAAAATCCTTGGAGGAAAGCATTGCTTCATGACAACTGATTCCTGTGGAGTACTTACCATGTGCTGGGCCTATGCAAATTGTTTCTCAGACTTATCACATTTAATTCTCACAATGATCCTATTAGGTCAGCAAAATCATTCTTTCCATCCAGCAAACAGGGAAATTGAGACATGCCTAGAAAAGGCTGCCCTAACTGCCTCCCCTTTCGAAAGGAATTTATACATATGCGTATAAACACTTCAAAGTAAAGTTACTGATGTTTTTGTTCATAATGAGGCTGATGCCTTTCAGCAAGGTTTGGGTTTTCTTTCTAGATTGGTCTCCAACTGTTTGAAAACTATCTCCTATGGAAACCATCAATGTCCAGCACAACTCATGACCCTCTTTGTCAGTCCACAGAAACTAAGTTTTCTTCTCATCCAGGAAGTTTCAATGAGTTCTATTTCACTGTTTCAGGAAGTTAGGAGTTACCCTGTAGGTGCCCCTACCTGTAGAGAGGGCACCCTGCTGTCAACAGGCTTCCCCAGGGAAGCAGCAGTAAAGGAAGCCTCCAGCCAAGGCAGAAGGCGTGACTTGATTGTTTCCACACCATCATTGCGTCCTCCTAAAGCAAGAGATAAAGTAAGTCAGCCAGAGAAATAGCTCACCAACTCAGAGAACACAAAAAAAGCACAAAGGGAAAAGGAGGGGAGAGCTGCATGGAAAGCCCCGGGCCACTCTCACCTTCCTGGGCTGCTGTTGTGAGGATCCCAAAGAGTTGTCCCTGTACTTTGGCCACTTGTTCAATGAGTTCAAGGCAGAAATTTAGATTCTGATCACATGAGTTGTTCTGTAAAGCCAAAGCAGAAACTATCAGTACATCCCTTCACTCTGGAACCAGCTGAAGGTAGACAGTGGCCTCACTTGACCCAGGGGATGTCTGCTTCAGGCCAGCTCCAAGTGAAGACACTACTGTGTGCTCACCCAACACCTACCCCCCTTCGCTCCTGAACACACAGCTGAGCCCCTCTCCCAGCAGTGAGGGTCCCAGGCAGTGGCTTAGTCCATTGCACCACAACACCAACCCCGGGACACTCTTTCTTAACGGAAGATTACTAAGTTGAGGATATAATGGAAAATATTGACAAAAATATGGCATGTGCAGCCTTATGAGATAGACACGAGAGTAGACAGTGACCTTGCAGTGAAATAATAGTTCCTCCCACATGAGTGAGCACAAAGTCTACTCAAGAGTCCACTGTCTGGGAAAGTCAGATAATGTTTGATAAATGAAATTTATGAATTTATTGTTGACTTAATAACATACAGTTGACATAATTAATGAATTTATTATGTTGATGTAAAAAACATACTGCTGATGCAATCCAAACATTTGGAACTTAAAGCCTGAACAGCTACAGCCATTCCTTCTTCACTGAACCAGTAGTTCCTTGCTCTGGCCATCATACACCTGTACTTATTATAATGAACTTCGATCACCTACTATAAGTCCTTTTTCTTTTGGCTAGAGCATGTCATGGTCTAAATGGACAGAGAATAAGCCTGGGAGTCAAGCACATGTAAGTATCTCAGCCCCTCCACTTCCCACAGTTATGCGTCATCTTGCAAAAGCCACTTAACCTCTCTAAGTCCTTTATGGGAATGATATTGCTTTGCAGAGTGTTAGGAGAATAAAATAAAAGAATGCGCATCCAACAACTCAGAGGCAGAAGAGTATTCAACAATGAGTAGCAATGAGGCAATATGTGGTACTGAAAGGAGCCAAGGACATATGAATAATGAAGATCTTGGTCCAAATTTGGATGTCCACTTACTAACGCATGACTGTGGAAAATGCATTTAAATATGAGACTCTGTCCCCTCATATTTAGGAGGTGGTTGATCTCATGAGCAAACTTAAATGCAGGCAAAGCATACAGAAGGCTCACAGTAATTAGAAGTACTATTGGGCCGGCGCTGCGGCTCACTAGGCTAATCCTCCGCCTGCGGCACCAGCACCCCCAGGGTTCTAGTCCCAGTTGGGGTGCCGGATTCTGTCCCGGTTGCCCCTCTTCCAGGCCAGCTCTCTGCTGTGGCCCGGGAGTACAGTGGAGGATGGCCCAAGTCCTTGGGCCCTGCACCCCATGGGAGACCAGGAGAAGCACCTGGCTCCTGGCTTCGGATCGGCGGGGTGTGCTGGCCGCAGTGGCCATTGGAGGGTGAACCAACGGCAAAGGAAGACCTTTCTCTCTGTCTCTCTCTCTCTCACTGTCTACTCTGCCTGGAAGAAGAAGAAGAAGAAGAAGAAGAAGAAGAAGAAGAAGAAGAAGAAGAAGAAGGAGAAGGAGAAGGAGAAGGAGAAGGAGAAGGAGAAGGAGAAGGAGAAGGAGAAGGAGAAGGAGAAGGAGAAGGAGAAGGAGAAGGAGAAGGAGAAGGAGAAGGAGAAGGAGAAGGAGAAGGAGAAGGAGAGGAAGAGGAAGAGGAGGAAGAGGAAGAGGAGGAAGAAGAAGAAGAAGAGGAAGAGGAGGAAGAGGAGGAAGAGGAACCATTGTAGTATTATTACTATCTGCTCAATAGAATCTCCAGATGCATTCATCCATGAATCATTGAGTTCCTATTACATATAAGCCCTGGACAGGTAGCTTTTATAATAAAGCTAGATTTAAAGAGACAAATGCTGGCAGCTGTCAATGAGACCACCTTCTGGAGACATGGGATGAAGAACAAGAAGTGCATGGGCCATGATAACTATCCTGAGGCTTATTAAGTGTCCAATATGGATAGAGAGCTGAAGAAGAAGCAATAGAAGTTCAATTAAGAGGGAAGGACACTGCAAGAGGAGGAACAGCAGGTACCAAGGGCAAGGAGCAATCCTAGTAGGGTAAAGGGGTACAGGGTGCAGAGAGCAAATGTGAAAGATGTGGCCTACCATATTAAGGCTGGGGGTATGCCGGCACCGCGGTTCACTAGGTTAATCCTCCGCCTTGCGGCGCCGGCACACCGGGTTCTAGTCCTGGTCAGGGCGCCGGATTCTGTCCCAGTTGCTCCTCTTCCAGTCCAGCTCTCTGCTGTGGCCCGGGAGTACAGTGGAGGATGGCCCAAGTCCTTGAGCCCTGCACCCCATGGGAGACCAGGATAAGTACCTGGCTCCTGCCATAGGATCAGTGCGGTGCGCCAGCCGCGGCAGCCATTGGAGGGTGAACCAACGGCAAAGGAAGACCTTTCTCTCTGTCTCTCTCTCTCACTGTCCACTCTGCCTATCAAAAAAAAAAAAAAAAAAAAAAAAAAAAAGGCTGGGGGTGTTATCTTGCCATCAAAAGACCTAACCAGGCCAGTAAGGCAGGAGAGTGTGACATGGTCAGATTTGTTTGGCATTTACAAAAATTTCTCTCTGGTGGGAGCAGACCAGATAAAGTTTGGGTTACAGAGACAGTCTGGAAAGGAGGTTGGGAGCTGTAATTATCCAGCTGAGAAATACCAATGGTCCCTTAAAGGTCCTTCCCAACCCCAAGCCACAGCTGAGTCAAGCCAGTGTCCCACAGTTTGGGCAATTAAGGAATCTACAGGACCTTAAATGGTAGACCATTTAAGAGCTAAAAGTTATTGGGCACCTTTCTCTGTGCAGCCAGGCAGCATGCCATGAGCTTGATGTACACTATTTTGTTTAATCCTCAAAACCACCCAGCAAATTGGAAGCCAACATCTTCCAGAATTCAACAATGAGGAAAAATAAAGTTAAGCAGTTACAAGAAACAGTCAGGCTCTAAACGCATACCTGCAGATTCCAGTGCTGGAGTCTAGCTCTCTACCAGGATGCCTTACAGAATGAGTCTGGAATTCCAAAGAGACGTGGGAGTTGAAGGAGTGGCTAGGCAGCCTTCCCTGGAGTGGAAGCCACACGCAGCAAGGAGATCACTAGGGAGAGTGGAGAGTGGGAGAGGGCTGAGGGTAAAGCAAAGTGCAATCTTGCTGTGTGAGAAGTAGCTTGGGGAATGAAAATCGAACAAAAGCAATAAGAAGTAGGATGACAACTAGGAAGAAAGATGAAGAACAGGGAAAACAAAGAAAGAGCCGGCTTCTAGAAGCAGGAGGCATGATTGATACTCTGCTTCATTCCTGCATTTATCCAATCTTTATGGAGAGGCCTACTGCACGCTAGATGCTGAGAGATAGTTTCTTGCCTTCCAGGAATTTCTACTCTAAGGTAAATAGGTAAACAAAAGCAAAACAAGGTGCTACTTGCTATTATAAAAGTAGACCCAGATTTCAGGGGTAAGGCTCAGAGGAGGAAAGGGTAGAAGGCCAGGAAGGCTCAGGAAAGCCTTCCCCAGGGCTGCTTTGAGAGCCCCAGACCTAGAATCTCTGGTTTCACTACCATACTGTGGGCATGAGTGCTGGAAATGCTAAAACCATTCGAGGTGATTCTTTTGGGTGATCAAGAGCGATAACCACAGCACTGGGGGGAAGTCACATCAATTCATGGAGTCTGGAACAACAAATCATAATAAAAATAAAACAGAAAGCCAGCGCTGCGGCTCACTAGGTTAATCCTCCGCCTTGTGGTGCCGGCACACCGGGTTCTAGTCCCAGTCAGGGCACCAGATTCTGTCCCGGTTGCCCCTCTTCCAGGACAGCTCTCTGCTGTGGCCAGGGAGTGCAGTGCTTGGGCCCTGCACCCCATGGGAGACCAGGAGAAGCACCTGGCTCCTGCCATCGGATCAGCGTGGTGCGCCGGCCGCAGCACGCCGGCCGCGGCGGCCATTGGAGGGTGAACCAATGGCAAAAGGAAGACCTTTCTCTCTGTCTCTCTCTCTCACTGTCCACTCTGCCTGTCAAAAAAAATAAAAAAAAAATAAAATAAAACAGAAAACTGAATCACAGAGAGTGAAGATAAGAGATACTAATGTAACTTTTATCTATACCTATGAGGGCTATTTGTGCTACATTGTGAAGTGAAATGCGTTGACTGCTGTGGCTAAGTTTTAAAAATACTACCCTTGTGCTATGTGAGAATCACCTGTATGGGGGAAACAAGCCACAGAACTGATCCTTCAAACAACGTATCAGTGTTGGCTTGGAGATGGGTATAAATGAAGGAGAGAAAATCAAGTTATGTGCCAAGTTACAGGTGTGGAACTTATACAAGTAAACTTCAAACATATTCAGTGGCTTCATGCAGATTGGAAAATGGTAATAATAAAAAGGAGTAAAATATTCAAGAATATAATCACCAGCAATATTAACATAAAGAAAATGTGTTCCTTTAAAGTTGCTAACCCCTGTACAGCAGATATAGTCTCCCTTTGTAGTCCAGATGGAAGAAATACTGAGGATTTGTTAGACACAGAATTCTCTGGATCGCATGAAGCTACTGTGCCCATGAGTTTTTCTCCTGCTACAACAGGTCTTTTTGCAACAAAGTCTTCTTGAGATCTGTCCAAACACTTCCTAGAAGCTGGCTTTCCCAATTTTGTAAGAAACAAGGGGTGCTTGAATAAGAGCAGCAATAACAGAAAGGGGAAAGTAGGTGCTACTGAGAGAGAATGGATACGTAGAATCTTCGGGGCTTAATGAGCCCATTTGTGAGGCATGATGAAGAGGGAAGGTCTCGATTTTCTGAGATACCCACAGAGGGGAGTGCGGTGCCAATACCCAACCTGAGGCCACAAGAGGAGGACCAGCAAGAGTAAAGTCTCTGCTTGGTTTGCTTTGCATTTGCAGGCCCTCAGAAGCATCCACATGGAGCTGTCCAATGCTATCCAGGTCAGAAGCTCTGGAGTAAGATCTAAGCTGCAGACAGATCTGGGAGCCACCAGTATCAGAAATAACTGAAGGCATAAAGTGTGATGT